AATCTCTATATAACATATTCATTCCCTCCTCCCTTTTTTATGGGACAGGGTCTCACTTTGTCACCCAGGCTGGAATACAGTGGTGTAATCTTGGCTTACTGCAGCCTCGATTTCCCTGGCTCAAGCGATCCTCCTGCCTCAGCCACCCAAGTAGCTGGGACTACAAGAGCATGCCGTCATGGCCAGCTAATTTTTTGATTTTTTTTTTTTTTTGTAGAGATGGAGGTTTTACCATGTTGCCCAGGCTGGTCTCAAACTCCTGGACTCAAGTGATCAACCACCTTGGCCTCCCGAAGGGCTGGGATTACAAACGTGAGCCACCATGCCTGGCTTCATTCCCTTTGAACTGAAGATGACATACATTTCTTTTCTTTTTTTTTTTTTTTTTTTTTTTGAGATGGAGTTCACTCTGTAGCCCGGGCTGGAGTGCAGTGGTGCCATCTCGGCTCACTACAACCTCCACCTTTCAGGTTCAAGTGATTCTCATGCCTCAGCCTCCCGAGTAGTTGGGATTATAGGCATGCACCATGATGCCTAGCTATGTATTTTTGTATTTTTAGTAGAGAAGGCATTTCACGAAGTTGGCCAAGCTGGTTGCAAACTCCAGGGCTCAAGCAATTCATCCTCTTCGGCCTCCCAAAGTGCTGGGATTACAGGAGGGAGCCACTGCACCCAGCTGAGATATTAAATTTTAAAATTCAGCCTCGTCCTCTGCTCTTTAATCTAATGAAATACTTGAATATAGTTATATTTTAATAACAACTGAGATCCAGACAATCCATAGATAATTCTGCTAAATTTAAAAATCAGTCCTATTTTGTTATAAAGCGCTGTCCATACCTGGCTGACACCCCCAGGAGCATACATTGTAGTAGCAAGGGCTAGGAGGGTATGTCCTTCCAGTAGCATACTGCTTACACTGGCCTGATTAGTGGGAATCAAAATGTGAGCGTTTGCAAGGCTGGCCTGGAAGATCAGTTTGGGATCTGGAAAATAAAACAGAGTGTTTTTCTCCTTAAGAGGGATATATATTAAATTAAGAATTATTTGAGAAAAATACCAATTTTTTTGAGACGGAGTCTCGCTCTGTAGCCCAGGTGGGAGTGCAACGGCGTGATCTTGGCTCACCAAAACCTCCGTCTCCCGGATTCAGGCGATTCTCCTACTTCAGCTTCCTGAGTAGCTGGGATTACAATTTCGTGCCACCATACCAGGCTAATTTTTTGTATTTTTAGTAAAGATAGGGTTTCACCATGTTAGCCAGGATGGTCTTGATCTCCTGACCTCGAGATCCGCTCACCCTGGCCTCCCAAAGTGCTGCAATTATAGGCATGAGCCACTGTGCCTGGCCAATAACATAAATTTTTAACTCTATCCACGGTTTAAAAAAAAAAAAAAAAAAAAAAAGGACCTTCTAAGTTTAAAAGCAATGGGAAAACATCACAGAGGGAAAAAACGAAGGATATCTCTAAATAAAAGTAAAAACTTCTGTTTAAACGAAATTGAAAGGTAACAATGAACTGAGGGAAAAATTTTAACAAATGACAAACTAAAGAGTTGCTAAGTTTGTCCTCAACAAAGAGCTCATACAAATCAATGCCAAAAATACTGACTCTAACAGATAAATGGACAAAAGAAATAACAAATTTATGAAGGAGAAAATATAAATGCCTGACACATAAAACTACATAATTCACTAGCAACAAAGAAATGCAAATTAAGCATTTAGATGCCATATATCACCTATCACATTGGTAATAATTTAAAAAAAATCATTCAAGCATTAGAGCTACTCAGAGCGAGTAGAGACTGGGACTTATAATAAAATCATACAACTCCCTTGGAAAGCAATCTGGTCTTACAATAAGAACCTTAAAAAGATGTATAACTGCTGGGCATGGTGGCTCATGCCGGTTATCTCATCACTTTGGGAGACCAAGGTAGGAATATCACAAGGTCAGGAGCTCAAGACCAGTCTGGCCAATATGATGACACCCCGTCTCTACTAAAAATATAAAAATTGGCCGGGCACAGCAGCACGCGCCTGTAGTCCCAGCTACTTGGGAGGCTGAAAAATCGCTTGAACCTGGAAAGCAAGGATTGCAGAGTAAGCTGAGATTGTGCCACTGCACCCCAGCCTGGGTGACAGAACAAGATTCCATCTCAAAAATAAATAAATAACTTTCGACCCAATAATTTAATATCCCAAAACCTATCTATACTAAGAAAATAATCTGAAATAAGGACAAAATTTTATATTCAAGACTATTACTTATAATAGAAAAATATGGAAAATGGCTTCATTGTCAGAAAAAGGGAGAATAGCAAATTAAATACAGGTATATCCATACAATAAAATATTATGTAAACATTTAAAATGGCCATTTTCTTTAAGAAGGTGGGAAAATTCTCATGTTATTACACAAAAAAGCAGTATGTAATAACATAGATGTTTCCTGTTTTGCTACTAGCACTTACAATAGTCAGCCACGAGGTAGGCGCTCAATAAATATTTGTTGTATAAATGAAATACAATAGAGACTAGGTTTTTAAAAAATGCAGTGAAGATAACTGTAACAAAATACATTAAAATATTACCAGTGGTTACCTATGGGTAATTATTTTCCTATGTACCTAGGCTATCTACCTATGGAAGTATTTGTTTTTAATTTGTTTGTAATTATTTTTTAAAAAAGAGACAGAGCCTTGCTCTGTCACCCATGCTGGAGTGGAGTGACACAATCATAGCTCACTGCATCCTCTAACCCCTGGGATCCAGTGATCCTCCCATCCCAGCCTCCCAAGTTGCTGGGAATACAGGAGCATGTCGCCACACCTGACTAATTTTTAAAAATCTTTTGTAGAGATAGAGTCTTGCTATGTTGTTCAGGCTGATCTTCAACTCCTATCCTCAAGTGATCCTTTTACTATGCCTCCCAAAGCACTGGAATTACAGGTGCAAGCTACCCACCTGGCCAGTATTACCTTTTTGATAGTTGTCTGTGTCTTCTAATTTTTTTTAAATAAACATACATTACTGCATAGCATGCAAAACCAAAAAACAAAACCCACATTATTTAAAAAAAAATCTACATTTGGAGAAACTAGACATTACACGCAACTGAAAGACTGACTGCTGACATTCCTTGTCTGTAGTCATTCAGCCTGTCCCTTTTCCCGTATTTCTGGGATAACACCAGTTAACTCCACAGTGGTAACAAGGCTGTTCTGTCTGATTACAACCAGAGTAAGCCTCTACATCGGCAGCTCCACTGCAGATGACACAACAATCTCATACATACTATGGATTTCTTTCAAGTCCATTTGGAGTTCCTTACTAAAATATTTACAACAGGCAGACAGACCACTTCTTCATGGAAAAAGGGTGTCAATCTACCAGAGAGCAGGAATTCAGCCTGTGGATAAGAGAAATCCTAGAGCATGATGCTAAGGGGAAGTAGACAAAATAACACAAGCTCTTTGCTCCAGATCTAGCTTTTCTTGGCTGGCTGGCAGCTAACCTTTTTAGCTTTCTGCATCTTATCTAAAGGGCAAGCCTAGATTACGTTCAGATATTTGACCACAGCCAAACAATTTATTTAAAGAGTCCACAAGTTTAATAGCATTCAACAGACCAGTGATTTATCCAAAGAAAGTTTCTGTGTTTAATACAATATACGCTTACCTGTTAAATTACTGGCAACTTGTCGACACTGAACTAAAAATTCAAACCAAGGATGTGCTTCATGTAACTCTTTTTTTTCCAAAAAGGGACAATTTTCAGGACTAAGTCTGTATATAAAACAAACGAAAAACTTATTTGATTAACATATAGAATAAGACGGTTACAACAATGTTTGCTCAGTGATGACTAGAATTTAAAAAAAGAATCTTGGAATTAAAAAGTAAATATAACATAAAATACTCCCACTCTTATATTTTACATATGCTTTATTATCTGGAAACAGACAATTTTAGAGACAGAATTTAGAGACATCATATGTTAATCAACTCTTTACCAGATAAATAGATACCTTGTACTTTAAGATACTTAATATTTCACTGGTTTTTACAACAAAAACTTTTTAGCATACTCGAACTTAGTAAGAGGCTTTTAAGAAATTTTTACAAGCCAAGTATGGTAGCATGCACCTGTAGTTCTAGCTACTTGGGAGCTGAGGTGAGGAAACTGCTTGAGCCTAGGGATTCGAGGCTGCAGTGAGCCATGATTGTGCCACTGCACTCCAGCCTGGGTGACAGAGTGAGACTGCCTCAAAGTAAACAAATAAAAGACAAAAAGCTTACACAACTACAGAGGGTACAACTGAGGAATTATGGCTCAGAATACATACATTGAAAATACAGCTCTTAAATCTGTTCTCTTGCCAGTAGCTTTGGAGAAAACATTTCTAAGTAAGACTAACAATATGACATGTCAAAAATACATCTTCTATTGGAACTCCTAGTCTTTTTTTTTTTTTTTTTTTTTTTTTGAGATCCAGAGCTGCTCTGTTGATGATGTTGGAGTACAGTGGCATGATCTCAGCTCACTGCAACCTCCGTCTCCCAGGTTCAAGTGATTCTTCTGCCTCAGCCTCCAGAGTAGCTGGGACTACAGGCACACAATGCTACCTGGGGCTAATTTTTGTATTTTTAGTAGAGGTGGTGTTTCACCATGTTGGCCAGGCTGGTCTGGAACTGCTGACCTCAAAAGATCCACCTGCCTCAGCCTCCCAAAGTGCTGGGATTACAGGTGTTGGCACTGTGCCTGGCCTGTTTATTTTTTTGAGACCAGGTCTCACTGTGTTGCCCAGGCTGGAGAGTAGTGGCACGAACATGGCTCACTGCAGCCTGGATCTCCCAGGCTCAAGCAATCCTCCCTTCTCAGCTTCCCAGGTAGCTGAGACTACAGGTGTGTGCCACTATGCATAGCTGGTTTTTCACTTCTTTGTAAAGAGGAAGACCCAGTAGGCCAGGCACGGTGGCTCACTCCTATAATCTCAGCACTTTGGAAGGCTGAGGTGGGTGGATTATGAGGTAAGGAGATCGAGACCATCCTGGCCAACGTGGTGAAACTCCATCTCTACTAAAAATATAAAAATTAGCTGGGCATGGTGGTGCATGCCTGTAGTCCCAGCTACTTGGGAGGCTGAGTCAAGAGAATTGTTTGAACCCAGGAGGTGGAGGTTGCAGTGAGCCAAGATCGTTCCACTGCATGCCAGCCTGGCGACAGAGCGGGACTCCAGAAAACACACTACATTCCCCAGGCTGTCTTGAACTTTTGGGCTAACGTGATTCTCTTGCCTTGGACTTCCAAAGTGCTGGAATTACAGATGTGAGCCACTGTGCCCATCCATTTCCTAGTCTTTACTACACAAAATAAGTAAAATAAAAATGTTGTCTATGAGTGCACAAACGTGGGCTCTGGAATAAAAATTAAGTAGAATTAAATCAGCTCTTCCACTTATTAGCTGTGTGCCTTAAATAAGATACTTTAGTCTCTCTCAAATTCTGTTGATTCATTTGTAAAGTGGAGACGGGAGTAGCTACCCCATGGAGTTTTTGTAAAGATTAAATGAGATAGTGTATATAAAGTACTTAGCTTAGTGACAACACTGTAAACACTCACTTATTAAAGACTACTTCTATCGTTATTACTGACCCAATAGGAATTAACACTGGTCACAGATGATTCTGCAGGTTGATCATAGGTAGACACATACTTATGTATTGCTTGCTCTGTGTGCGTGTGTCTACGTAAATATAAATTTTAGAGCATATCTAATATACCTTGAAGTGAAATACTCCTTGCTATGAAATCAAGCTTGTTTAGCATTCTCTTGGTAATCAAAGCATCGAAGAAAACTCCAAGTGAAACTTTAGAATCTTCCTCTCAAACCTTTTAAAGCATTTCTTTCATTGTATTCTAAAGTCGTCTTTAAAAGGTTAACAGAGATACTACAGAATATCACCAAAAAAATACATAAGCATTTTGTTGAATGTAGCACTGAATTCAAAGATGTACCAAATGTTGAAATGGAGAAAATTGCTTCAAAAAGATCAGTATTCCTCACGTGAATGCTTACTATTTTCCTAAAAGTCACATTGATAAGTCATATGCAAAGAGATAATGTGAAGGCCTGGTCAAGGACAAATGCATTCTCAGTACTCACTTGTAACAGTCAAGGTAGACATAAAGAAGATGCTGCAGACTGTGCTCCAAACAATATAGAATGAACTGAGAATGGAAATCCCAACCTTCTTTGGTCTTGTAGTTTTGAACAGGGAGGGTATCCTGTATTACACCTCCAATACGGCTTAGTCTTTGGAGGAAGCTTTCAAAATCTTCCAGTTCAGGTGCCAGAAAAACCCCATTCCTATTGGACAGATTTACAGGATGGCAAGTTAAAAAGTTGCTATGTTCAGAGTCCACCAAATCACACCCATAGTTTAAGTCTCAATTACTTAAAAATAATCATTTACAAATTAATGCTGCCAGTTCTTACTCTATATGTTTCCAGACACATATTTTGCTGATTTCTAATAAAATTTTCTACACTACTATAGTATTTAAAGGTAGTAATAACAGTCTCAAGTTATCTTTATTATTTTAAAAACCTAAATCAAGCTATTTCCATTTTTTGGCTTGTGATGGAAACCATTACCCAGCATGGCAATAGTGGTTAACCCTTGAAGCTGGATGCTCTAAACATTGAGACATTCACCAAAGTATCTAAATAAAATCATGCAACATCACAATAATTTAAATAGACCAACTACTGAACATGAATAGAAATCTGCATGTAAATACTACTTTTTACAAAATAACTGTTATATAACATATAGCAAAGGAGTAAATACAATATATACCTGTATATCGAGTTTAAATAAACACCATGGAACCACTAACCTAATTATAGAACATTATAAACCCTTGGTATATTCTTCCCCCATTGCATGCCCTTGCTACCTCCAGAGGTAGCCACTATCTTGACTTTTATGACAATCATTCCCATACTTTTTTTTTTTGGCAGGGTCTTGCTCTGTCCCCCAGGCTGGAGTCCAGTGGTGCCATCTTGGCTCGCTGCAACCTCTGCCTCCAAGGCTCAAGTGATCCTCCTACCCCAGTCTTCTCAGCAGTTGGGACAACAGGCATGTGCCACAACCCTGAGCTAGTTTTTAAATTTTTTGTAGGGACGAGGTCTATGTTGTCCAGGCTGGTCTTGAACTCCTGGACTCAAGCAATCCTCCTGTCTAGGCCTCCCAAAATGCTGGGATTACAGGTGTGAACCACTCTGTCTGACCTTTTTACTTTTATTCATAGTTTTATTACACATATATGTAATCCCAAATAATTTAAGGTTTTACCTATTTTGAACTTTGTATTACGTAGCACATTCTGGATGTATTGTTCTCTATCTTGTTTCTTCTACTCAACACTGTATGATTTATCCATGTTGATACCTCTGGGTATAGTTTGTTATTTTTCATTATCATAAAGTATTCCATTGTATACACATACCATATTTATCCACTCTACCTTTGAGAAAATTTAGCCATATATATGATAAAAACTATTGGCAAACTAAGCATAGATGCAGATTTCCTTAACTTAAAAGGAGTATCTAGAAAAATCCTTCTCGTCAACATCATATTATGAGTGAATCACTGAGGTCCATTTTAGTTGTTCCTAAATTTTGGAGAAAATAAATTTGCATTTCCTTAACTACAAATGAGAAGGAGAATCTTTTCATGTTTATTAGCCATTTGTGTTTCCTCTTTTTGTGAGAAGCCTATGTGCTGGTATCTTTCTCCTCAGATCGAAGCTCTACTCTGCTTCACCCTACTCTGTTCCTGGAGGCTCACCTCTGTGGGTTCTACTACAAGACTTCAGTGTCCTGAGACTTCTGTTCTAGCTTGTGGGAGGGCCCCATTAGGAGATAAGAGGGAATACTCTGGTTCTCTCTGCGCTGGGTGTCTACAGCTTGGCTGACACCCTCTACTAACGGCCACAACTCCTGCCAAGCAGCTCTGTCGGTTTCAGTGACAGATCTTTGCCCCTTCAGGCCTTTTAGAAAGCATATCCTACTACTCCCAAGGTTGTGAAGATATTCACTGATAGCATTTTCCAAATGTTATACTTTTACATTTGACATTTAGGTGTTAACATCTACCTAGAATTGATTTAATGTAGAATATAAGGTAGAGAGGGGAAACCAACTAGACTTTTTCCCCATATAGCTATTCAGTTATTCAAGCCTCATTTTCTTTTTTTTTTTTTTTTTTTTT